CAAGATGTGTCGAAATTATTGCACATGAGATTCGATAAGATTGATTTTCATAGCATCCTTGGCTATACGGCTGAGGGTTGCTACTGTACTTCCCACAAGCATCTCATCTTGAAAGGTGCTTACAGTTATGCAGCAAACGTAAACTGCTATTGCGCAGTTAATTGCCTGTCCCAAATAGGCGTTTTAATGAATTGCTCCCACGAAGTACTTTCCATATGGTGAGGATCCAGATTTGACGTTTTTAATTTGTACGTCCGGTAAATGGGATCACTCATATTATTCATGGTACTCAAAGAGAAGCTATAGTTTTTTTTAAAAAAAAACTGGAAACTGAATTATTAAGCATTGACTCCGATTCATGTAGTTTACTGTGTCCTTAAATCTCTTTCCAGCGCTGCGTGACCTGTGCATGATCCTGCTTTTAGAAATACAGAAGTTTGTGAAAGATCCAGTATAAAGACAATAGTAGCTCTAGATAATCGCACAAGTGTTTATATTTAACTACATAACCAAAGTATATTTTAAAAAACAGTAAATCATTCAAAGCTTTGTTTTTATCTTAGCTTTATTATTTACCCTATCTCCTGGAGGAAATCTGTTGTGCGGCAGATACCAACGCAACAATATAACAAAAACATCACCAACAGAGCTCAGGACAAACAATATTTCAGGAAATAATTAATTTACATAATTTAAGAGTGAAGCTGCAGAGGGAAATAAACAGTAATAAATTATGATTATTTAGCTTATTTGTTGCACTATATCAAAAACGCTCCTTTTTGCAGACTGCTTCTTGCGAAAATAGGCTCTGCACAGCACAGTAAAGGCAGTAAACTCACTGGAAAGCAGGATTCTGTCTGAGCCCTGTAAAATTAACTAACTTTAACCAGTTTAATAAAAACGAATTCTAAAACATTCAAACGCAAAGTAAGAAAAGAAAAATTCAACTGTGCAGATGGCAATCTCTCCACAATACACCTAGATACGCAATACATGTACAGTAGTATCTAGTACTGAAGCAAGCACACACATATCAAGGGTAAACTGGTGTTTGAAAATGTCACGATTTCAAGTGAAGGTCGGCTTCAGTAGGACTTACTCCTTACGAGAGAACGGTGCCACGACGTTTCCTGACAGGCCACTGAAATCAGACATGCTTCAATATAAAGAAAAAAGCATCTCTCTGTCCCCAAACCACAACCAGAAGAACGGACAGGTTTGCCTTCTACAATTCTGAAATTGTTAAAGTTTGGAGGACGTGTTCCTCTGTTAAGATTGTGCGGAAAAGGATTCCTGTCAGGAATACGCCTCGGCACCTTAGCTTTTTAAAGGTTAGACTAAGCAAAATAGTACAGTACTGTACTATAGTGTATATAGGGGAAGAGGGAATTGTTAACAAATATTGACCTCTAGTGGCCACTTTAAATCACCGCTGTTTGAAGTTTTTAGCGCAGCATTTCCTAACACCTTATATACACACTTTATCTATTTGAACTTTTATTAATTTATGTAAATATTTTGACTTTTATTTTTTTAACCATATTCGCCTTATAAAACATTTTGGCTTTAGATGTGGTCATAAACAGGGATAAATACACTTTCAGGTTGTAAAAGCTCCTTTAAACTGAAATCCAGGAAGCAATAAAGGCAATTTAAATTGGACGTATACAATACTTTTAAACTACAAAAAAGAGAAAAAGTAGAACAGATGAATATATATAATTATACAAAGAGATTATCGGCCATTTCAGTGCGGAAATAAATCTCACGTCGAGTCTAAGCTGTGTTGGAATGCCTTTGGGCTCTAATTACTCACAACCTGCAGAAAAGTAAGATTTTCACTAATACACAGTAGCGAAATTACTCCGCGCTTTAACGCGAGGAACAGCTGCACATCACTTAGGAATGCCATCTTTTTGAAATCAGATTTCGATAGTATTTGTATTTATACAAGTAGAAAACTATTGATCTAAATGTTAATGATTAGTTTTACTTATCAGCTATCACCGATAGGGTGAGATTACAGAAGAGTGGCCAGTATCCTTATTAAAGGACAGGCAACCTGCTCTGATGAACACCTGCCCATGCCTGGAGATCAGAGGACAGCCCACTGCCCCTCTTAGTGGGAAGCTGGAACGGAGTTTGCAGGGAGTTAGCACAATTCAGCAAGGCCTGTATACAGTGGGATGATGTGGGAAGAGCAGAAATGGCTGGAAAAGGAGGCTGTTCCGTGTTCCAACCTGGGGCTGGTGTGTTTCATTATGGACAGGCTCCTTCATCCTCACTGATGTCCCAATCCATCACAGGGACAGTGATGGAAACCCGCCTGCAATCACCACCGTGGGACAACAAGGGAAACAGCGCAGGCTCCCTCCCAGCTCATCCATCTTCATTAACCCCTCCCTGCTGCCCGTCATAAACCCACAATGTGTAAATATCAGGGAGCTGCACAAAGGAGACGGAGAACCATTTGTCTGCAGCCCAAAAACACCATCAGAGGTTCTACAGTGGCTGCTAAGGTCAGACAGTGAACATTGTCATTTTTTTCCCCACATGCACAATAACACTCCACCTGCTCCATAACATAACCATACAAAACCCCTTCCTTGTAACATCCTCAGCGTGACATTTCCTTCTTTAAAAACCTGCTCGATATTGATGCATTTCACAATGCAAGGATAATAAGAACCATTACAACTTAGCTTCTGATTTGAACATCCAGCAACCTACAGTATGCAATTATCCCATCAGGGTCAGTCTCAGCCCTGACCTCACCCAATTACTGCTTGCAGCTGGCCTGGTTTGATATCAGGGGCACCACAGATGACATTAATACTATGGCACCTAGCAAGAAACAATGACAGGCTTGTGGTTAAGAAGTGTAACAATCACTGAGCGCCATAAAGTGCAATAAGTAACCAAGCTCTCGTTACACATTTTGCTTACAGGAATTCTGTTGCTTTCAATTTCTGTCACAATCCAAGTGTGCAAGTGATTTACAAACAAGGCATCAAGATACTGTATCGCTTAAGCATTTTACCCTTGCAGACTTAACTCTCTCTGCTGAGTAGCTCTGACATCCACACAAGCACACTCCTGCTATGTGTGGAGTTCATTTCTTTCCTTCTCCTCTAAATAGCAATTCAATTTTATATAATTCTCCTACTGACACCTTGTTACCTTGCTACACTACAATGTGCTTTATTGCCTGCTATGGAATGAAAGATGTCAAGGGAGGTCTTGGAAGGGATCTCACAGCTAGATGTTATTGATGAAATCCCATTTTCCGTTTATAGCAGCAGGAGCATTCACTCCTTCTCCCTGTCTTGGTTAAAAGCAGCCGGGGGGGTGGGGAAAAAATTGCCTTTTCCAGCATGCAGCTGCAAAGGAAAAATGCGTCCCACTCCTTCCAAAACCATTTACCCCAGTCCACCCATTAAGTCCTCTGTCACCTGTCAGAAATCTTGTTTTCTGCACAGCGCCCTAATGTTAATATGGTGGCACTCCCTGCTCTGGAATAAAATGACTTTGCCCGATAATGTAGAGAACTGTCAGAAAGCAGCACAAAGCTGCGACACAAGCAATTCATCACACAGACTTTACCATCAGGGCATAAGAGAGTGCTCGCTGACTCCCCTGGGGCAATTGCCAGAATATGATCCTAGAGCTTGGGAGATGGAGAACAAGTGCCTGCCTATTCTGGATGCACTCTGCTATCTCCAGTTCTTAAACAGATGTGTTCATCATGCTAGAAACGGTCTAGTTTCTGTGCAGTGACAAGACCTCAGCATTCAGACAGTGGGATCAATTTTCTATCCATTTTCTTCTGCTCAGACAACAAGGGTGAACTGTAAGTTGATCAGGCTAGAATCCACCCCTGCCACCCTCCTCTTTGTCTCTTGTGTTTTGATTGTCATTCAACTTCATACTACTGTTCAGCGGCTAGGATTTTCTGAATCCTTATAATTCCAGATTTGGCTAAATGCGTTTGAGAGTGTCTTGCATTTGCTATCACGGCCTGCAATCTCAGAAGAGGGGGCTAGTTGTTGCCTGTGCAGCTGCAGTGAGATTTCCCTGTTGAGTAATCCTTGCTCCCAGACGATAAAATGTAAACCACCGCATTTAATAAATCTGGATCCAAAGCTTAGACAGGTGGGAGGCCATTATCAAGAAAGCTACTTCCACTCATGTATCAAGTAGGCTCAGAGTAAACAACAGAAAATTAAAGACCTATTGTACCTGCTCCTATGGATAAGACACATGCTTAAAGACTAATCCGTCTCAAGCAGGCAAGCTATTCATACTGATTATGTTCTTCCCAATCAACTGTTTTGGCATGTGGGATATCAACTCTATGCACAGTATGGGTCCAGCCTTTCGAAACCATGGATGCACCCGACCACATGTGCATTTCTTAAAACGTTAATGAAGCACTCATTATCTCAGATCCCAGAAACACATACGTTCACATAGCTTCAACCAAGTGGTAATAAATCACAGAATCTTGTCGCGTTCTGACACGTTCTGGCAGCTTAGTCTGTGGCCCTTACAGTACCTGAAGAAATATGGTCATGCAGAAGCAATTGTATCTATGCAGTAGCACTATGAAGAAAATGAGACAACTCCCATATTTGACAGGACCACCCCACAAAGGAAATGAAATGGCGGACAGACGTAAGCACGATCAACAGGCATTTTTCTTTTTACATAAAAAAAACTTTATTTATAAGGAAGGCTAAACATCAACATGCATTTACAACAATGAAAATAAAAAGGTATTGCACCGGTTTTATCAATTTATTTTACAACCCCCCACCCTCCCCACCTCATCCCATCATACAACCATAGAGCCACCCCGTACCTCACTAACCCCTTTCAAGAAAACAACAACCCTACAACAAAACCCATTTTCAACTGCCCACACTTCCTCCACATACTGTACATTCACACTGCTCTTTCTTATTGCCTGACATCTCTATGGCACTGGTTTCTATATAGGGACACCCAACACTGCTAAGATTATACATGTACGGCATATGTATACAATAAATATCTTGTTGTAATTTTCACTTTCTGATACACTTATTTAAAAACACGCAAACATTGTCTAGGAATGTGCAGTCTCTGGTGTTAAAAAATGGACCAAGCACTTGCACAGTAAACATGAAGAGGAGAGGGAGAGACCCTGGCAGCTCTCCTCCTCCAGCACAACCACAGTTTCTAGGTTTCTCTACTTTACTGAAATACAGAGATTGAGGGAGACTAGTAGACACAGAAGTCTAAAGCTGTTCGATCCTGTGTTCAGGTCCCAGTACCTGTCCAGGAGTGAAGTCCTCACTTTCCTCAACTTTCACCAGCTGTGAATTTACCTGAAAATGACACAGTCTGTTTCCTGTAATGAGAAGGTAAAAGAGACCAACTCTCCAGATACATTTCAGTTTCGATGTTCAAGCAAAATTGATTGCTCAATTTAAAAGCTACCTGGGGCTGCAACTGCTAGAAATTTGCTTCCGAACAGGGTCACCCCTTGTCACCAGTTTTCCCAGTCTGCCGAGCTGAACTGGGCCACAGAAAACAAATTAGATGATTTTGAGGCTTCATGCTATTAATGGCAATGTCTGGCAATATCTTGTTCAGCTAGGGTGAAGGCTTTCAGCAGCACACAAACCCAATTTGCTGTCACCAGAGCAAGAAGCAGAAAGATTGTTGCTCCAAATACAAGCATGGAGATCACAAACAATGGGGATTCGCCAAGACCAAAATTAAAAACTCTGTTGTCTGCACTGGAAACTGAGCATGGAATTAACTATTACCAACAAGGAATAAAAATAAAAATATCAACAATCTGATGTCTTGTTCATTTCTGACATTCCTCATTCTTAAAGTGATGGAGACCCCAATTTATGATACACAGCTTGTTTGCACATTATAAGTGCTTTTTTAGGGTTGCTGGCAATCCTCCACAGATTTGCATTAGATATCCACCTTTGTACATGGCTTCAGGCTACCCCAATTGGCTCGTTATAACTCTGGAGAAACCCCTGTGGCTTTAAAAACCTTTAGTACATTAGTTCTTTAGCCAGTGTCAGAAGAGCAAGAGGATCTTCAATGGGAGTCGAGTGAGCTCACTGAAGAAGGCAACAGCCCCCATAGCTACTGGCGGATATTAGCAATGCTGAAGGCCTTTTGTATATTCAATGCCAAAGGCAGAGAGGTGAATTATTCTTCATAGCAGATTTGTGCCAGTGTTTCACCTTGGCGACTTCATGGTACTTCATTTAAGATTCATGGAGAAGCCTCAACAATTACATTTAAAAGCAACATGGGATTTCTTTGCTTTTTAAACTTGGAGGGAAACAGTAGCTCATAATAATGTCTAGCACAGCCTAGTATTTTAACCTTTTAGAATGATGACAAAATTGAATGGCCACTGTGAAGAATTCATGAGGAAACTGGGTCACAGTGGTCAATCCCATTTCCTCTCTGCTGGGCAATCTAATTTAATATCTGAACCATATTATACCTTGATGCAACACAGATATCACTAATAGAAAGCTAAGCTATGTATACAGTATACAATTCACATTATATACAATTCATGTTGTCTACCTACAGCAAGTGGAAAGGTTTGAAAAGGCTGCGTTTTGTTTCTTAAAGGAGCTTGTTCCCAGGATGCTCCTGTCCAGCCCTATTGGCACACTTTTGATTTGCTGGGGGAGGGAGGGGGGATGTGTTTCTGTATGAAGTACCTTCCATATTCTCCTGTCACCCATGCAACTGACTCCGAGAAGCCCATATGCTTTTTCTGCTTTGCCAGGGTAGAGATACAAGAAATGCGCAAATCATGGAGATTAGTTTGCCTATTTTTGCTCAATAAAAAAGTGGGCCAGATTTAGAAACATTTGCAGCAGAAATAAATCTCCTGCATTTCCACAGCAGGTTAAATCTGTCCAACACTGTGGTAAAAGGCCTAAATACGTGTGCAGAAAATTTGCTTTAACCAAGTTTAAAGTTTTTTGTACCGACTGGAGAAAAGAAAGAAATCTCCTGTGCACACCAGTGAAAACCTGTTCCTGAAAGTCAGAGGTTGTCTACATCCCTTCGTATGGCAAGTGCATGTGCTTCTTGTGAAAACTACTGAAATAGCTACTGATCACCACTGCAAGTATGCTGTTTATTTACAATTTTGGTGTTGTTATTACAATTTGTTCATTTTGACTTCATATCTGATTGCCCTCGTCATCCACCAACAGGAATGGGAATTTATATTCGCAACTGGCATGATTTTGGTGATTAAAGCTGATTAAAGCTTACAACAGGTAGGACCTCTTTCAGTGCATATAATTTGCCATTTATGCAGGACAAATTCATACTACCTAAGCAGACTCCTCCCATCTGTGAGATGAGTCTGCTTCAATTCCAAGACTGTTCATTTCACAATGCCTTTCCAATTAAATTCCTAAAACACCCCCAGGAAAAGGAAAAACATTTTTATTTATTGATGTACCTAATGAAACTCCAGAGATCTGATTCCAATTTTTAAAACAGAATATTTCAGTTTAAACATAAGAATCTTAGTGTCATTTAGGTCTCTTCATTAAAGTATAACATTTCCTCTCCTTATTCCTAGTTTGCTGTTTTTAAGCAACTGGCAAAGCCCCAGGAAGAAAACCATGAAACATTTAGAATATTTTTTTAATTCTATAAACTACATGCTTTAAGCATGGGCTAAGGATTTTCTGATATGAAGATTAGATTTTCATGTTGCTTTTTGCTGGGTCAAACATACAACATACAAGCAGTAATCCACATCACTCTCGTACAAAGAATGTGATAAACAGATCCAGTGCATGTTCAAATAACACCATATCTGAAGGACTTACGGGGAATTGTTCTGTTGTTAATTCAGTGCTGCATGTTCAAAATTCATAATAAGATCAAACACTTTGGAGCCTTGTGGCCATCTAAACAACAAACCAAGCCTACAAAAGTCAGAACTCTCAAACAACAACTCTGAAGAGAGTCATGGTGTATTACTAATAACTCATTTAATGTCCGCATTTATGTTCCCCCCTTTTCACAAGTTGTTTTCTCCTTCCCACACAGAAAAAAAACAAAACAAAAAGCCTCACACCCAGTGAAAGTACGCCCTCTCCCCAACTTGACTACTGCACAGGCTCACCGGACGACCAGTGAGGGATTTTGTCACATAGTGCAAAAACCTTACAGGCAAGCAGCTGTTCAAGAATAAAACACTTCCTGAGTCACCATTCAAGAAAACCAACCTTCCAGAAGCTAGAATTAATCTGGAGAAATTTAAATTTAAACTGGGAATCTGAATTATTGATCACATTACCTTATAAATCTAAAGGCTTGAATGGCTTCATTTTCTATGTTGATTCTTTTTTGATGACTAACAGTATGAAGTACAGCCCCTACTACTGTACACTTGGGAGTCCAAAACCTTTCCCATAACTTTCAGCAGCTACTTGCAAGCAAAGTGACATGAGCGCCCTGAATCAGCCAGCTGCCTGTAAGCCAATCACTGTTCACAATGTCGGTCTTAGACAGCAGGGTAGAGAACGCACAGTGGACACAGATTTACACACACATGCACACACACATAGCTAGTGTCTCAGGGATAAAGTGATGTTTGCCAGCCGTACAAAAAGAACCACAGAGAAGTAAACAGCAAGTTGGTCCTGATTGGAAAAACAAATGAAAGTAAAAATAAAATCTAAAATACGACTGGATAAAAAGTAGCAAAAAGCAGGGCTAGAAATAAAGACAACTGTACTTTACCACTGTACCACTGTCTAGCTGCTTGATATACAACAGAACTTCCAGTAACCAGATGTCAATTACACAGAAGGGGGCATTTGAGACTGTAATGAAAGTCCAGACTAAGTCAAGCTGAGTCAGACCAGGACTTCATTAAAACACAGGTCTGAAATGAGCCAATCAGATCATTCATCAGGGTTCACAACTAGTTTTTAATGTTTTCAGGGAAGCAAAATTGGGATGGAATGATCTGGGGATAAATCAAATCTGAGAAACCTGTAAATGAGAAACAAACTGTTAATGAGTACCTAGTGGCTTGTGTTTTACAAACAACATTTTTCTTTTTTTTTTTGGCAAAGGATTTCCCAAAAAATACATTTTTTTATGTTTTAGATTTTTTTACAAATACGGTATCAACATTTCAAATGTCTGGTGCATGGAAACTGATTAATGGAACAAAACCCACTAAGCCCTTTGTAATGTATTTCCTTAAGCATTTACAAATATTTTCGTAAAGAATAAGCATATTGGTGAATGCATGAGAATCTCATCGGCTTATTAGCAGTCTAATCTTCAGCTAACACTCTCCTGCACTGCAACAAGTTTCACAGTTCAAACACGTGTAAACAGTGCACACATGCAGCTGTTTACATGAGAAATGGAGGCAGCAATCTCTGACTCCTTTTTTGCACAGAAACATTCAGAATACAGCTTTTCCTAAAGGTGCAGAACCTGCTGTAGGAGTAGGTAAACCATGGAAAGCATTACAATATCAGTTTTCCTACTACATTGCAAGACAAAACATATTAACAGTGAAATGAATTAATTGCAATTGCGACATCTTTAGATGCAATGTGTTGAAATGGCTATTGGAGATTCAATAGAGAACTACAGTGAAATCAAATGATTTCTTTGAAGAAATTTACAACAGAACTGAAATGTGAAAACTGGATTTGGTTTCTAGGTGCTACATGGATAGAGGTGATATAGGCGTTTTATATACTTAATGTATTTTATACAAATTGCTAAGCATACGCTACTTTTATTGCTGAAATACATCCATTTATCCAGAAGTCTCTCTTGAATAAACATGCTGATGAATATGAAACATTGTATTCATTAAGGCACAACCTGTTCTATTACCTAGAAAACAGATGCGAGCTCAGAGCATGTCTTCAAAGCGAAGAGTAATGGCAAAATCAGGCAGATCATCTGTGTGTGAAACCCACTCTGCACAAACCACTAAATATACAGTTTATTTCTAGCCCCGCCAGTTACTGAAAGAAATGCTGACTCCACAAGGACATTCGCTCCGATTTTGAAATAAAAAATACTACAATATAGAGCTGAGGTGGAACCTGTGTATGAAAATGTACAGCACAATGTTGAACAAAGGTTTTTATAGCCGATTCTCTGTTTCTCAGATTTAGTGTATCATAAAGTTTCCTTAATAATTGTTCTTTTTTCCAACATGCAGTACTTTATTGAATTTAGATTATTTCAACACAACAGTTTTATTTATTTTGTGGATTGTAGTGGCACTGCTACGTTTTCCTGTAAGTTTTGTCTTGAGGTGCTGCTGCTGCTCTCTGAGGGACCTGGGAATCTGGCTGCTTCTTCTGCTCTGCTGTCTGCGGTGGTCTGGCTGGCTGTTGGAGGCTGTCTCTGTGCTGGCCGCTGGCGCCGTCCTGCTGGCAGGGGAAGCCCCCTGCTGTTTTACCAGTGGAGGCCTGGGCACAGTCTTTGACAGACGCATTTTTCTGTCTGTCCCCCGGGAGGTCAGAAGGCTTCTGTAGAGCAGCAGCCTGTTCAGTTTTTGGAGCCGGATGACTGGGGGGGGACGTGGAGAGCTGAGGGGGCTGAGGGGTAGGCTGCAGAGAGGGCCCAGCTGGCCCAGGTAAAGCAGGTGTTTTAAATGCGTCGGGCCTTTCCTGCTCTTGTCTGGCTTTGCCCTCATCCTTGCTCTTTGGATGTAGACTATCCTCTGACCTCAGCTCTTTGGCTTTTTCAAAAGCTTCCTTCGCCCCAGGAATGCTCAGTTTCACGGGACCCAATACACTCTTAGCCACTGTGGCGAACTGGGACATGAGCTGTGGCACCATGTCGGTACCGGTCTCAGAGGGAGAGGCAGCCGCTGCAGCACTGAGAGCCTGTCTCCTGTTATCTGCCTCCTTCTTCTCCTTGCTGGTCCCTACAATCTGGACAGGGGTATCCCTACTGTCTGCTTGCAGAGTGCTTGGTTTTGACTCAGGGGTACGACCAGCCTTGAGGGGTTTCTCTTCACTCTTTACCACAGTGCCGGTCTTCTCCCTGGTGTCCAGGAGTGGTTTCGGAGCAATTTTCAAGTCTTTTGCCACCAGACCAGGTGCTGCTGGTGTGCTGCTGGCTAGAGTTGACGTTTGGTAGGAATCCTTGCCGACAGATGTAAATGCGCTACCAGGAGTCGAGAAAATCCCAGACAGATTGTTTTGGATGCCTTGGTGGAGCTGAGTTGGCATAGAACTGACAATGGTTTCAGGTAACGTCCCTGCTTTTTTTGAGGCATCAACTCTTTCTGGCTGACTACTATCTTCTGCAGCCTCTGAAAGGTGCACTTTGGTCTGGGATACTTTCTGCTCTGACGCTTTGAAATCAGCAGATGTATGGTCTGCTCTGCCAGCCTGAGGAGTAGCTCGCTGAGTCTGCAGTGTTTGTGCAGGGGGTGAGGATGAGAGGGAGGGGCCTGTGGTTGTGCTGCCTCTATGTGTGGAGGTTGCTGTCCGATGAGCAGTCTCGGGTGGCAGGAAGGGGTCATCATCGTTGGCAGACCTCGTGCGCCCACAGTCCCCCCAGTGGCCCAGCCTCCTGCCATCCTGGCTGTCCTCTGAGCCTTCGTCTGTCTCGTCTTCCGAGGAGTCCACCTCATGGATGGCGTCCTGTTTCTGGAGAGATTCCCGCCTCTCTGCACGGTCCTGCCGGATAGCCGAGAGCTTATCCTTCAGTTTGCTTTTCCCTGGGCTGAGCCCAATGCCTGCCCCTCCTCCCTCAGGGGTCTCCTGGCGGCTCAGCTTGCGAGGGGAGTGTTTCTGCAGGGTTCCCTTCTCTGCGGGAGATGCTCGTCCGCCCAGGAGGATCTCACCAGCTGACTCCTGCAGGCTCTGGAGGCTGGGGTCCCTCTGCATCATCTCCTTCTTGAACTCTGCATGTGAGATGTCAAGGCTGTGTTTGCGGGAGGAAGCAGACAGCTTTTTGTCAGCAGAGGTAGCAGGGGAAGGGGAGCAGGAGGAAGAGGAAAGGGAGGCAGCCAACTTTTCGGCAGACTGGACGCGCTTCAGCAGGGGTGAGCGCGGCGGCTCAGCACTCTTGGGCCGCGAGATCTGCCTCACCAGAGGCGGGGAGGAATGGAGCTTGACGGGGAAAGATTGAATGACACCAGAGCTGCCCAGGGAATGGCTTGGCAGGGGGGAGGGGGAGCGCTGTGGGGAGGTGGACTGAGGGGTCGGGGAGGGCGTTCGGGCTAGCGGAGAGAGAGGGATGTTCCCAGCAGACTTGCGGCGTGGAGAGCGGTACTGCCGCTGGAGTTTGGGCGCCAGGCCGTGCAGAGAGCTGGGCCGGATGTGTCCTGAGCTAGCTGGAGAGTTAGGGACACTGGAACTGGGAGAGCTGCTCTGGGAGGAATTTCCACCAACTGGGAAAAAACAATATACAAAAAAGCATATGAGAAATTATAACAGTTATCAGCACAACATACATCAATTTTTTTCCATGAAAATAGAAATCTTAAAATTTCTTCTTAAATTACCGTTCAAGAAAAAACCACACAAGATGTGTGAAACGAAGACTCCACAGACATACAAGCCCTTATATACAGTAAGTAATTCCAACACTAACACAGCAATTCTTGAACACACAGACAGTGATGCAGTGCTGGACATTAGCAGGGCAGGCCTCACCGGAGTGTGTGGAGTCCGGAGTGGAACGGTACCCCTGTGTGGGCGAGCGAGGGGACAGGTTGTGGGTGGGTGACCCCGGTACGCTCTCCCCAGAGGACAGCGAGCGGTTCAAGGAGGACAGGCTGCGGCTGGTGTGCAGGAGGGAAGCTTGCTTCGTAATCTTCCGGAACAGGGAGCTTCTCTTTTTACTGCTGTACACAAGCATACAGGTTGTAGAGAGAGTGTAAACTGAGCAGAACAGAACAATTAATCAAACTGGATAGAAGAGAACTTCAAGATGAACGCATGGGAGAGACTAATGTATTGATTTTCCACAATAGCAGCTATCTGGCTGTGCCATATATGTAATCAATTGAAAATGTCAAATTCAAAATTTCAAATGTCCTTAGTTTTCAAGTAGCTTTGGTAGATAAATCCAAAGAATCCTTATAAACCTCCTTTTCTCGGGTAAAGTAGTTTCTTTCATTTCCTACCACCCAGTGCTGATTAATGAAAGCAATGCCTTCTCCCAGAAAACACAACCTAAATAATCCTTTTTTGCATTCCTGATGCCTATGCAAACACAAACCAGCACAGCCTTGTTTACACATCATGGACCAAAATTTAAACACAATGGGAATGTAGTCCATGTGGAAAGACGACACAAATAAGCTGCCTTACAGATCAACCAACTAAGAAGATGCTGCAGAGAGAAAATAGAGCTGTTCAAATTCTTGTGTCCCTTATAAACGTAGATAGGTTTAATAGGAGGTGATGAAAGGTAAATGAGCAGGTACCTGTATATGGAAAGCATTTTAATGTTAATGCAAAGCCTCACCTCTCCTGGCCTTCTTTTGTCTTTGTCTTTTTGTTTCGACGAGCCATTTTGGACTTGTAGCTGGATTTGCGAGCCGGTCCAACCTTAATGGAGGTGTTTTCAAATGGGGTGGCCGAGATGGACACCTTGGCACCACTCTGGGAGACATGCAGAGTCAATAATACTCAATAACACATTAAGGAGGACCAAAATCACTTCATGCTTTCATTTAACTGGACGGCGGGAAGAAAATCCAATGGTTCTTGAGTTTGAAGTGTCCCCAAAAGTATATGAAAGAACAAATACAATGAGAGAAGGCCCAAATAGCCCATTTGGCAGATCATGTTAGCCAAAGGTACAAATATGTTTTGAAGCCATTGTATTTATGGTTTACATGACACATTTAGAAATAATAAAGAATATTTTTTCGTATTGTTTTTTTATTTTAATTTACTTTTTTAACCATTTCCTTTGCATTCCTGCAGTTTTACTGTCTTTTCACAATTTGTTGAAACACCGGACCATGATGCTTTGACTAATGACTAAAGGGAGGAGGGTCTGGTCGCTACCTTGAGGATGAGCTCCACCACCTCTGTGTGCACCAGACCATGGACCGGCTCTCCATTGACATGAGTGATCAGGTCACCCTCTCTCAGCCCAGCCACGTGCGCTGGACCCCCCTCCTCCACATGCTGTCCATCCAAGGAAGGAGGGCAAGAAAGGAAGCGTAGGCAGTCACGGTGATAAGGAAGGATAGAGAGGAAAATGAAAAGCAAACAGCAGAAGATAGAACAACAAAAAGCCACTTAATTGTATCTCTGCATCTATTGATTCAAGTTTGTCTCTGTTCATTAATCACTGGTTTTTCATTTTTAAAAAGCACACCACAGATTCATGAGCATCTAATCTAAAAACAGGATTTCTTCACCTGAGAATCTCGGGTTTTTTAAACAGCTGCCACAATGAACGCACACTCACCCAGACCATGTGATGGACAGTGTAGATGTCAGTGTCTCCCATGTAGACCCGGATGGCGCGCAGGGTGAAGCCATACTTCTTGCCAGCACGGTGGATGACAATGGCGGGCTTTACGCTGGAGATGGCTGGGGAGAGATCTCGGCTGGGAGATGAGTCCCGGGATGAGGGGTTGGAGGAGAGGGAGTGGGGAGACATGGGGCTTGCCAGGGGGGAGCTGCCATGGTGGTCTGTAGGGCAGACAGGGGAAGAACACCAGGCATGAGAAAGGAAAATGAAGGTTGATTGTGTCCCTGAGGAGCAACATTCACTCCCGTTCTTTAAGAACACAAGAGCATAACAAAGATTACAAACGGAGAGGAGGCCAATCGGCCCACTGAGTGTGGTTTGTAACCTCCATCGTTTGGTAACTGAAAAACCTCAATTGCTAAGTTTGGAAAAGCAAAAGTGGATAACATTCATTTAGAAGGAATGTGGAACACTATCTAGCCAAACACAGGCAACCTCAAAAACAGAACTTGTAAAAGTTATAACTATCTCACAGACGGAAAAGCATCACTCTTCAGGTGTTCTGGCTGACTGAACCTGTGCAATAATTATACCTTCGGTCGCAGAAGAGCACCTGGGTCAAAGAAGGATTTTCAAGTGAAGAATGTCAGATTGGTGATGTTGGGTAAATCATACCAGTCAAGTGAGATTTAATAGCAGCCACAGAGATCAACAAATAGGTGCAGCTGCAGTCTTGAACAGTAAGAACTCTGTATTTCTTTATTGGCTACATAGCAGGGCTGTGGTTGACACTGACCTGAGGGGATCAGGAGCGAGAGTGTGGTGGCGGAGGCGGACTTGATGACCTTGTTGACAGGCCGGGAGGTGTGTTTTTCCACCGTGTCTCCTGAGAGGAGCCGGTGTCGTGCGCGGCGGGCTGCCAGGTCACTTATAGCCTTCGGAGTGGTGGAGTCTGGGCCCTCAGCGCTGTTACACCGCAGAGAGCGCTCTGACACATCCCCCGAGCTGCCGGCTGCAGTGAAGGAGAGCACAGGCCAGTACAGATCACACTGATGCATTTCAGGGCAGAGATTCATTCAGATTGTTTTGTGCATTATTTAGTGTTTAATTCAGGTTTTTATTTGAATGGAGGATGGTAAGTATCCTTGCAGTCATGTCAACAAGCAAAGACAAAGCATCTTCAGAAATCAAGCCTACAACCCTAAAATCTTACTTTATACGTGGCACATTTCAAAAGTTCAAAACTGAACACGAGGTCAAATTTAAGTCGCATAATTAATAAGTTCGTAAATTGAGAAAAGTCGCTTCAGGACTGCATTGCTATCCGGCAATTTGTGTTTTGCGATAATAACAATGAGGGTTTTGCTCTGAAAAGCACTTGGCGCCCAGGTGGGAACCATCAGTCTGCAGGGCGGCGATACTCACGGGTCAGCGTGGCTCGGCTCTGCTGGCTGGCAGTGGAGCCAGGGGTGGTGGGCGACTCATCCAGGCGCAGCTCTCTCTCCAGCGGCTGCTCGGGGATGGACAGGGGCAGCTCGTCTCCTCGGGAGGGGGCTCGGCTCTGGGCGGGAGGGGCCGGCGCGGGGCCCTTCCTGCCACCGCCTCCCTCCTCCTCCGCGGAGATAGCGAAGCGGGGCATCTCAATGATGGCGGAGCAGCAGCGGCGGCGCACGGTAAGTGGGGGGCTGGAGTCGCTCTCGGTGTGAGAGGACTCTGACACCGACAGGCGCTTCCTGAGGCTGCAGCACAAAAAACTGCACTTCAGATCTCCACCCAAAATTAGGCAATAATAACACAGAAATTCTTTTGTTAACAAGGCTAAAGGTATACATAACCCAAATTGTTTCATTATTTGTGTCCATTTATCCCTTGCTAATGCCTTAGTCTCCCACAGTAAAACAAGATCTATACTTACAGTATTTGCTTTTAACTTTTCCATTGACTTTATATGATATACAGTGTTAATTGTTCACAAACAAAAACCAAAAGATTTTGTTGACTATCTCACAATTTGGTAACAAAAACATTTATTCTATGTTGAAAGGAATCCCTTAGGAATTTTGCCAGATGTTGATTATACAGAAAACAATTCGGAATAAGCATAGAAAATGCTTAAATAAACTTTGTTTCTTATTTTGCAAATGGGAAAAGACTGGGTGAAGGGATAAACAAATAAATACAGGGATAAATAAAGGTGTTCACTGCCGTACATTTCAGGGGACCCCACCATCCAGCTGCGATCCCGGGATTTCAGCCCACTCAGACTGTCCAACCTGTCCCCCCCTTCCTCGCTCAGACTGCGCTTTGTTGGTGGAGGGGTCTTCTTCTCCTCGTGCAGGGAGAGGCGCTCCATACTGCTGTACACCTGCGAGAGACAGCACAGCCCCAGCGCCACAGTGAAGTAACCAGCAGAAACAGTGTTTACAGCACTGTGCACCTGCACGCAAAGCAAAGACGCACAAAAACACTGAAGAACACCACTATGCTGATGAGCAAACGGACAAAAAACAATTCTAATTTGGTATGTATAAAACGGCCTTGAATTCATGTTTTTCTTGTCTTTGAAAGTCTACTTTTCAGTCTATGACAGTGGCGTAAGAAGTATAGTAGGGATGCAGAAGTGCAGAAAGTTTTGACGTTGTAGTCTAAGGAGCCTTGCTGTTCTGCTGCGTACACAGAGAAGTGCTGTGATCTGAGCTCCTCAGACATTCCCAGTGAGGTGCCTGGCAGGCGAGCCACACAAAGCTCTTCTCCGGTCTCGGCCTCACCTTGCTGAACCGCGGGGAGCAGGAGGAGAACTGGCGGATCTCCACGTGCTCGTCGTCGTTGGTGTCGTCCTCCTCCTCTGAGTCCACGTGGTGGTACCTGTCGGAACGCGCTAGGGAGGAAGAGATTGAGATGGAAGAGAAAAACAGGTATACAGTCAACATGAAAAGCAATACCAGGAAAACAATTGATGACATTCTCCCACCAAATAGTATCTGGTCAGAAGAGGCAAAATTAAGCAGCATAGAGTGCAACAGATTTATCAAGCTGGTCTGACTGCATCTATTACAAAGAAGGACTTTGCATTGCAGTACAGTTACAATACGTGTAGTGAATGCTTTGCGTATAAGGCCATATTTAGTACAGTGAATGACTCCTGTCTGTACAGATTTAAGCTGTGTGTACCAGTAATTCACGTACAGATCAGACAGGATCTAGAACAGGGAGAGTATGCTGCACAGATTAGGCAGAGCGTAGAATAGTCACAGATTCCAGAAGAGATCAGACAGGGTGGAGCGGAGTCAGACTAGGTATTACAATGAGACTCACTGTCAAAATAACTGGTGTCATCCTCAGACTCCAGCTGTGGGATGAACTCAGCCTTCTGCCTCAGCAGGCTGTTCCAGTCCAAGTCTGTGAAGAACCGGTGCTGTTTCACCTCAAAGGCACTCCCTAGATACACAAACAGAAACAGTTTACCAACACAGGCCAATGGGACCTTCCAATTCTTTGCTGCTCAGTTTTGGCACAAACCAGGTTTTCAAATAAAGTCTGTAATGGCCAGCCCTAGTCCTGGAGAGACCCACAATCCAGCAGTTCTTCTACATCACTGTCAAACATCTATAGCTCTTAAGGATACAACTGTCCCTTCCTCTCTTAAATAAATCAATTAATATGCTAACCTAATGCAATACACAGTCCAGGGAGAAATAAAAAATTTAAAGCTGACCTAAAAGATTTATACACTATCCAAAACATATCAGCAGACAAAAGAACTTCTCTTCAGGTGACAGGAGGTGAGCAAGAAAAAAGAAAACCCTTCAGACTCAACGACACCATTGCACCTTTAATTCAGCAGAGGTGAAGAAGTGTAACTGGCCTTCAGGCAAGTGTGGGCTGCCGAGGGCGGAAGAGGAGGACCGTACCTGTGCCCAGTCTCTCCAGGGGGTTCTGGCGCAGCAGTTTGGAGATGAGATCCTGAGCATCTGGTGGCAAGGCTTCATCTTCCTCTGGCCAGATGATCTCATCTGGGGAGCAGAGGACAGTGAAAGGGAGGGTCCAATACAGGACCCCAAAACAAGAAGTGATCACAGGCTACTGCAATAAAACGTACAGCAATCACTGATCCCTGTGAGGGAGATTACAGCATTGCTTCACAACTGGACTTAAAAAAATAATTTGCAAAATTTTAACGCACATCTCACAAACCAGACATGTTTTGAAAGAGATGCTGTAGTGAAACACTGTAACTGTTGTGGTGCAGAGCACTACTGCTTGCTGAAAATCATTGTAAAAGTTTAAAGCAGGCAAATCCTATGGGAGACAATGTAAATGGACAAGAAAAAGCAATGTATTTTTTAAATGTAAAATTAGTTCAGAGCAGAGAAAGAAAAGAAGCTAACTTTCTCACTTTAACAACAACTTGTCTTGGGATGTGTCTGGGATGTGTCAGGCACTCACCGCTGATAACCTGACCAAAGAGCTCCTCCGGTGTGTCTCCAAAAAAGGGCGCACAGCCCACCAGGAATTCGTACAGAATCACACCCATTGCCCACCAGTCCACTGGTTTGCCATAGCCCTGTCGCAGAATGACCTCTGGAGCAATGTATTCTGGTGTGCCGCACACCTGTCAATCAATAACACACAGCGGTTGGACTCAATATATATTCATAAAGTAACTTACACATATGTGTTAGAACAACATTATACACCTGTTTCACTCTAATGACCCAGATATCCAAGATTTTGACTGTAGTACATCAGAAAGCAGTTACTTTTCAAATGGTAAATATGTTCAGTTACTTTTTATCCACTCTGTATCAATGTACAATTCTTATAGCCAATTACGTTTATAATACAGTAAGAATAATTAAATGTCCATCTGTGACATCAGTACTGGTACAAAATGTATTTAGAGATCACAACAGTGTGTTTATTTAGTATCTTGACAGCTATACCTGCTTGTCCAGGAACTCCCTGGCATCCTTCTCGATGTGCCCCTCGTACAAGTTGGTGGTGAGACTCATGAGGCCAATCTTGGAGAGCCCAAAATCTGTCAGTTTGATATGTCCCATGGATGTGATCAATAGACTGCAGTCAGAAGAGAACAGAAGCCTAGTAAGCATGGGAACAGAACATTCAATGCCAAAGAAATACAAGGTCTACCCTCTACTGCATAAAACCTCTTTGAACAATAAGCACTGTCAGGATCACATTAGCACCTGTGTTATAAATGCCATTACATATTCACCCTTTTCAATAAAATGTCGCAGTGGATAAGCAGAACTTAATTCAAATAAAGCACAATTTAAAAAGCAAACAAAGAATAACAAAACGAAATAATATAACCTCACCAAACCAATGCCACTAGCCTAACTGCATTCCACACAAATGTCGATATCATGTGCATTGCAGCCTCTCATTGTGTAGAAATTACAACAAACACGGTATCGTTTTTGGCCACCTCGTCTGATTGGTTAGAGAGCTTGGAGCCTCACTTGTCAGGTTTGAGGTCACGGTGAACGATGCCGTAGTTGTGCAGATATTCCAGCGCCAGCACCGTCTCTGCAAAATACATCCGTGCCATGTCTACTGGCAGGGCACCAATGTTCTTCAGCAGCGTGGCGCAATCTCCCCCTGGCGGAGAGTACAAAGCATGAGCCTCATCCCGTTTCCAATGCCAACAAACACAAAATAAAACCAAGCAGCAAACTTCTACCTTTCCCCGTGTGTCTATCACTACTTCTTATATTCTCGCTCCCTTGCAGCCTAGTTAGAATAAAGCCAAACTCCCTTCTCAACGGCTTCGTCATGGGTTTATTTTAACCACTCCACTACAAGGATTTACTCCAGAAAAACAAATCAATGAAAATTATTTTATCAGCCCCAATGAATTTGCCAAATGCACAAAGAAAAAAGCAAGTTTACAGAACAGTTGCACTCAGAAAAGAAGGGTTTTATGGATTTAATTTAAGTAGAAATGGTTTGCTGAGTGCCTTGTAAGCCAGTGGTTTAGTACCTTCCACATATTCCATGACCATGCAGAGATGGCGCTTGGTTTCAAAAGAGCAGAACATGCTGACCACAAAGGGGTTCTCAGCAAAGGTCAAGATGTCTCTTTCTACAAAGGCCTGTTGGATCTGATTGCGCAGGATTAGGTTCTGCTTGTTGATCTTCTTCATGGCGAAGCGCTGCCGGGTTTCCTTGTGCCGGACCAGGTAAACAGCACTGCACAGGAGGGAAGACATGGGGCATGGTCAGAGTGATGCACTCCCACACTCCACAGTGCTAGACACCTCATACCGCGGTGTTCATCATTTTACAGGCGCATAAAGAATTTAACCGGATTATTACACTTTTCTGTGTGTTTTTGTTTAGTAAGGATTTTCACTGGTTGGCTGAGAGAAGATAAGCTGAAAGCTGGAGAGGACGTTTCTCACACAGGAGTAAAACTGCAACAGAAGGTCCCAGTCACAGGTTATTAAGATGTGAAACGGGAACATTTGTAACGCTGTCTCTTTGTGATTGTTTTGAAAGGGTTCTTCAATGAGCAAAGCAGATTTGAAAAGTCTGTTCAGCTCATGTGCTCTCAGAAAAGACAAAATAAATCCTCTTTAATGCAAAAAAATGTTTTCCCCTTCTGCTGCTTTACTTTCCCAAGTTGCTGCCTCACTCTGAGTCAGTTTCACTGTTTTAAGTCTACACAAAAACATTTAAGAATGCCACTTTAGGCATTTGGGACATGTAACCATTACATTACACCAGTCTTTTTTCCAGGTTTAAAAAAAAATGTGGTGTGATGGATCAGAGTTCAGACCTACCCATAAGCTCCATTGCTGATCAGCTTAATGTTCTCAAAGTCCTCCTCACGCGGTGTTTTCTTGACCTGGACCGTGGCCCCGCGGCTCTGTAAATAATTATAAATAAACTATTTTAATATAGCCCCTCAAAGACGCTATAATGTAAACAAGCACCGTCTTTCGGATGAACATAAAACCGAGGTCCTAACTCTCTTTTGTCATTAAAAATCCCAGGGTGTTTCTCGAAAAGAGTAGGGTTGTAACCCCAGTGTCCTGGCCAAATTTCCTATGCCTCCTTATAATCCCCCTCTATGAATTGGCTACATTACTTTGTTCTCTTCCCCCCCACCTCCCACTCCGACGGCAGGTGGAGCGACGTGCCGGTTGGAGTATTCTCGGTCGCATTTAATGGCAATGTCAGCTCAAAGATTTGGTTCAAACCACCAAATGGAGACAGGCGTGTCGACAAGCAGACCCTGCTGATGCGGGATTAACCCTAGACTGAGAGGGAATTATAGCCCCTCAAAGTGCTTTACAGAACAACAGCAAAAAATACACTTTGACAGGAGATAGTAGATGGGGGTAAGGAATACAGTAGGAAATCAAATGGGTAGTCACAGAACCAATTAAATAAAAACCCTTCTAAAAAATAAGATTTTGAGTCAAGATTTGAAAGAGCTCGTTAAAGGTGAGTCTCTGATACCTTAAGGGATAGAGGACCATAATGACTCAGGCAGGTGCTGAGGTGCCATGCAGAGCATGAGGATTTTGAAGTCAACACGAAACCGGACAAGAAGCCAGTACAAGGACTCCAGGATATGAGGAATGTGATCACTTACACTAGACCTAGCTAGGATTACTGTAGTTTGTTCAATGTGGATTTAGATACCCCAGCGAGTATGGGGTTACAGTAATCAATTGGAGAAAAGACTGAAGTGTTGACCAGCTTTTCCGAAACAGTTAGTAAAAGCATAGGACGTAGGATGGCAGTTTTGATGATACTGTATGTTGCACTTGTGGGTCAAATATCAACTCTGAATCAAATACCATCCCCCAAGTTCTTCAATTTTGAAACTCAAGTATAGTGCCATCCACAGATAGGGCTACAGCATTTGCTTTACATAGTTGATGGAGTGTGCCGAGAAGCAAGTCTTCAGTCTAATCTCAATTTAGATTAAGGAAATTTTGAGTCATCCATGTTTTTATGTCAGAGATACAATTAGAGAGAGCAGAGACAGTCACATCAGTGTCAGGTTTAGTATGGACATATATTTGACTATCATGGGTGCAGAAATCACATTTTAGAATTAATAGTTATCTTAATAGCTGACCAAGTGGGAACATTTCAATGCTGAAAACTAGGGGGCCCAGGAAAACACAAGCCTTAACAAGTCCAATTTCAGAACTAAAAATATCATCAGTCCTGGTCCCCCCCACGTTAGGCATTGTCCCTGTTTCTGATACTGTTCAACCTGTAAGGTACCATCTATTGCTAAGCAAATATTGACTTTATTTTTTTAAAACACAGCAGAGTTCTGAGAATGTTCCAGAGTTCCAGAACATACGTGGTCTTCACTGAACTCACCTCTACAGAGTCATCCGTCTCAGGGGTGTCTGGATTGCCACTGTCATAGCTGCTCAGCTGGGCCATTTCTGCAATGAGTTACAAGAGGAGTTGCATGGTAACACTCTGTGAGAAATGCCTTCAGTGCATAATCACAGCTATAGAAAGAACTGGATTGACAGAGGATAAAAAACTGCTAAAACATCAAACTGTTCCTTCTGCAGCAAAGACCACTTGCAGCAATGGTGTGCACAACTGTAACCAGCCACAGTAAGGGTGGCAGAAACTTTCTTAATCACCCATTCATAGAAAAGCAATGGTTTTCACTTCATTATATGAAATATGAAGCCAACATGATGGTAGTGAGATGGGAGTTTAAGGTCTATTGAACTTCCAAAGCACTCACTGTTCTCCAGTCATGCCTCTGTTTTCTCTGGATCAGCCTTGTCAGAATAAAACTCAGCAGTGCTAGTGCAGGGATAGCAGGTGTGTACAACACCAGAAAGCAATCACAAAAAAGAGAAGGCAGCACCTGCATCTGGACCCCTACACCTATGGATTGTCCTGTTCTTGGCTGACATCCAGCACAGTTTTCGTTTCCCCGATGGAAGTGCACTCACCCTCCAGGGGATCCCTAGTGAGACCCAGCTGGCTGATGATGTAGCGGGGAATGTCGGACTTGATGCCCTGGCCCTCCTTGGCATGGCCCTCCGCTGCTTCCAGCAAGTGGTAAAACTCCTCAGGGTCGAACTCCTTCAGGAGGGAGAGAGAGAAAGAGTACAGTCAGAACTGCAACCCCACCTACAAGCAGCAAGAGCCCTTTGGTGCCTTAAACCACAACCATCCAGCAGCAGGCCACCTGAGCTACAGCCAAGCAGGGACAGCATCACAGCTGTTTATATCGCTCTTCTATTTTCAATATTGTTCTAGGTCGATATCCATACACTGCCTTTTGCAGTAAAAATGTGTGACAAGAGGGATCTTTAAAATCTCATACATTCTTCCCATCATAAAACACTTTGTCCAAGAATCTCATTAAGACTAAGCAACCACCTCGACTTATACAATATTATATCCCTCGGTCTTAAAGCTTTATTCAAGGCTTGGACAGGTTGCATGATAAATGAGATGTCTCAGTCACGTATGCCTTTTTTTACCAACTCGCACAAAACAAAAGACCTCATCACTTGAAAAGCTTCTTCTTTTAGTAGCTCAGTTCCCTTTGCGGCATTTCTTTACTGCTGTAGCTAAAACCATTCTCTAGGATGTCACAGTGTCAGCTGCACAAGATTAGTCAACATTACAAATGTAAGCATGCCCCAACAATGCCCAGCGCATCCTCTGCAGAGCGACAGACTGAATATCAAGTGCCTGAAGGCAGGGGGCAATGGCTTTAAAGGGAATAATAAAGCACACGGCCCCCCACGCTTCCAGACAGGCTGATAGTTTCAGAGAGCTGGTCTGATTAAGGAGCCACTCTGGGACAATGAAGAGAGGAACAAGTGAAGCAGGAGGGGCTGTCGTGTTGGATGGATACAAATAAACTGGCAAAACGGAAAAAATAAACAGTGAAGTGGAGACATTCAACCGAAGACAGGATGGATTTCATGAAATGATTGAGAAAACAACTGGCAAAACAGTGAGGAACAAGTCACACCAGCTAGAAACCTAAAGATGACTATGAGAAGTCTATCTTACATACTTGGCAGATTTTTTCAGTAAGAAGAGTTTGACATTAAATACAATACAATGTGAAACAAAACACAAAATGAAAAACTGATGGAACTATTAAGGACGTGTCCTCATTGCTGAATATTACTAGAGGTTAGAATCCTTGACCAGGTGGTTCTCTCAACATGGTGAATGTAGGTCAACTACATTCACCAAGACGGAGATGAGCCACCCCAGGCCGACTCTTACCAAACACTCCAACAGGCGCGCCGGCCTGGCAATGATGATCATCAGTTTCTTCACCAGCTGAGTGACGAAGGCCACCTCCGCGCTCTCTGACCTCTCGTGAGCCTGCAAGTATATGCACTGTTACCAGAGCAACAACAACTTGACTCTGAACAATACTGTCGACCACCTATTAGGATTTGGGAAGGTAGGAGCAAACATGGAATGAGGCCCTGAAAAAATATTCAACTGGCATTGAGTAAACAAGCAATATCAAAAATACCTACAGTATGAGTTAGAATCGGATATTAAAGTTAACATTGTGGAAAAATTTGTGGAACATTTGCAAAAAGGAGACTTTAATCTCCATCTGGTCCTGAATGAAGATGACTGAGGATTAGACAGACTCCCTGATAATGATTTGAGGAGAAAAAGTTAAGCATAAGTAAGCAACGGGCATCGGCTGACATTTCTGAATCATGTGATCTGCTAATTAGTCATTTCCTCCTCTTTGACCAGGTGTTACAAATTTCTGAATATCCCTTCTATTCCCTGCCGGCTATCCTTGGGGATGTTTGCAAGACGAGTCACGAATATTAAGATATCCCATGGCAGGTCGCTAACACAGCCTGCTCACTGCACTGGCACGCGCAGATAGGCTCCAATGATTCTTAATAACAATACCGCAGGAGGTGAAACCATTCAGAATCAGCATATCAGTCACCTCCACTAGCAAAGGTTCAGATATTTACACAGCCAGAGAACAAAACAGCTAAGAGTGTGTGCTTCTCACATAGTGAGATAAACAATGGCAATGAGGACAACAAGGTAAACCTCAGTGTAAATGTTACCAGCTTGGACATGTATGTAGATAATACACACAAATACACAAACTACAAACCACTACATTACTTTATGTCCACTTGAACTAGACAACTCGCAATTTAAAAATGTATGTGTTCATGTTTATGCACAAAATGTGTACACAGCTGTGTTTGACTTTAAGAAGCCAAATACACTATCCCAGTTTGGAAGCAATGCAGAAATGTATCTGATAATTTTTTAAAAAATGCAAAACAAACTCAACTGCCAAAGCCTCACTCATAACCGTCCTCCACCTCCGATGTTCCAAAATGTGATGCAAAATCTCTTCCTCCTCCAGTCTCCGTTGCCACGAGACCCTGGACATCTTAAAGGCTGTTCTGTTTACCTCGGACTGCCCCCTGGTCCTACAGCATCCTATGCTTTTCGCGCCAAGTAAGCCAATAGAACCTTGTGCTACTGTACACCCTAACACGATCGCTCCAATTAGAAAGCCCCTAGTGATATCATTCTTGCTCCTGTATTGCCACTGCAGGACTGCTTTTCAGATGCTCCAGCTCTAGTTTTGGACTGACACAAGCCTAGTGCTGCATTCATAGACATACCAACTGGAGCCAGCGGTGGGATCATTTAAAGAACCCCCCTCTTTGCACGCGCACGCGCCCACCCGCCCACGCTCCAGACCCCTCCACCTACAGTAGTTGTCTGAAAGACGCATCCGTCACTAACTGTGAGTGCTGGGGCGTGAAATTAAAATCACGATCCTCCCACCTCCAGGGATATCGGAGGGGGCCAATGGGAGCAATAGCTTGGATATGAGCCCCTAGGCACTGTTATTGAGCTAACAGAGACACACAGAGCTGGAGTTGTGACTAATAGATTTGTGACAAGTCTGAAGGAATCTGCCCCTGTGCCTCTGTATGAGCCCAGTTCCACAATGTTTACACACAGTACATCACCTTGACTTGAAAACAACAATAACAAAAAAATCAGTTCCAGACATCAGGCTCCTCAGAATGTTCTACAGCTGACAAAAACATAGATTTAAAATACACTACTGTAGTATTTGAAATACAGAACCTACATTCAGAAATGAAAACCTATTCAGCAAATGACATGAACCTACAGTATGTTTAATAAAATAAAGAAGTAACCATTTTGGCAATGCCAATATATTTTGCTGTTTAGTCAATTTCTAAGAAAAAATCCAATATGACCCAAGGTCTTCAGTGGTCAATGTAACTTTGTTCCTAATGAAGATCTCTTGTGGATCGAAATGCTGATTATACAACAGTGTGCTGTTAAAACAAATCTTTTATGAAGCATGTGGAATAACTAGGTCCCCATATCAATTTAATACCAAATATGTTTTCTCTTTTTGCAGTGAGAACTTTCCCATTTTCTGAAGTGCAAGAGTTTAGGTGCTGAAGCCTGAATTAATTCAGCAGGAGACAATGATCGACTACAGGACAGAAAGATGGTATGGTGGAAAAATGTCCTGCAAGTGAGGAGGTTGAGCCACTACAGGTCTAGCAAGTTACAACCTTTTGTAGATAAGTTGGAATCAGGTGTTGGATGTTTCATCTGTCACCTTACCTTGAGTTTGATTTTCTACTTCATAGTTGCAGAAACCCGCAGCTTTATAGAACCTAATAAAAGGCTGCACACAGGAAATCCCGTTTCGTTTCTAGCGTGAAACACTCATCCACACACTTACGTCCTGGAGCAGCTTCTCAAGGTTCTCCTGCAGCTCGTAGAAGTAACGGGAGGTGATGAGGCCCTCACGCGATTTGTCCAAACAGTCCCGGGACAGCTCGATCAGCTGGTGGTGGATGAAGCTCAGGACCCCATCAGCCAGAGGCATGACTTTCTCGGGGGCGTTGGAGGCGATGAACTCTGCCAGACGCTCCTCCATCTGGGCTGTGGCCTTTGGGAGGCAAAATTGGCATTCAGAGTGCCATCACTGGCCCCTCAAACTCCACACACATTTAAGACGCACACAGGCAGAAAACCTAGGCTTACAGAAGCAATATTAGGCACAAATCATAAGGAAATGTCCTCGACCAAAAGGGCTGGGTGAGTGCAAACAGAGATGTCACATCCAGGAAAACGATCCCAAAACACTCTCACATTCGGAGGCATCAGGGACGCATGAAAATACATACAAAATAAGACCAGGGATCTATGCACAAACACAATCAACAAATACACAATTTGGGACTCATTTTTAGTGATCTAGAGTTAAAATATATTTCCGCATCCTTACACCTTTGAATAGAAACATTCTAATCTCTATGTCACCTGATTATTAACATACTTTTATACAGTGAAAGAAAAATGATAATCAACGACGTACTGTTTAGCGACCTGCATAAAGCAACTAAAATATGAAGTATCAGCTTACCAATCACTGTTTAAACTAGACTTAGTGGTTTCACACTAAAAAGCACTTCCTGAGACCCTGTCACTCAGATGAGCTCACTCCTCTTCTGGGCTGATGTCACTCACCTTGGGGAAGCGCTCCTTGTACACATGGTTCATCATCACGATCTCATGGTCAAAGGAGATAGGTGATCGGCCGGGACTGCAACAGACACGAGACAGACTCAAAATTCAAGAGATCACTGCAGTACACTCCAATGAAGCAACAACATTTGTATCGAAACAGCAGAAGAGCACAGCCACCACAGGCAAACAGATGGAGGGATTTTGTTTTTTCAAGCTACATGGCAAAATGTTGCTTGTTTCCCATCTGGATAGGTTTGATTCAGTGATACTATTGTGTATCATAAGATACAGTCAACTCATAGTCACAGTGCCGTCTTTCAGTTTCGTCTTTATTTCGCCATTCCAATTTGAATAAAATGCTTCACAGGAGATAGACAGGACAGCCGGACAGGCAAATTCACCCATGCAAATCGACAGGTTTGGGTGCAACTGGATGTTACTTCATTTAAAGACAAAACTAACACTGAAGGAATCTCAGCATGACTTTAAGTTAAGGTACTGTACCAGGTCTAGATATCTATCAACATTGAGTGCACTACCAACCCTCTAATAGAGGCACACAAACGAACAGTCAATTTCTAAATCTAACAAAGTCACTAAAAATATACTGACATGTAAAGTATGTAGTAGTTGTCCCTGACTTGCCAGTAATACTGTATGCCTATTATGAGTTAAATCACATCTCCAAATAAGAGGAATTACCCAACGGAAAAAGAATGCATTGTCTTAGAGAAGGTGATCAAAACTGCATATGATGTTAGAAGTATGATAGGTGCTTCCCTAATGATGAACCACAAGCAGCACAGTGTTTTGTCATTGCAGTAGAAGTGAGCAGGTATTCAGCGGCTGGTCGATAAAGTTTCATCAGCTATTCCACACCAGTGACAGATGTGCCTGTGAGTCACCGCAGGCTGTGCTGCATATGACAGCCAAATGAGGTAATGCATTAGGTCATCGCAAGTAGCCCAGGAAACCAATTACTTGCTTAATTGATTGGGCACAGGCAGATTGCTGCACACAGGTGCCGTTTATAACCTTATTCATACAAACTGTGGCCCAATGCCCTCCATAGGTTTGCCAAATCTCATCCAGATTGACACAAACTTGCCACAAGGAAAAATCCAGTAATTAAAACTCTGTACTAAATAGTTATTCCTAGACCTGGCTTTTTTATTCTACAAAAAAAAATAAAAACTAATTTCTTAAAAAGGTCAGTTTTGACTTAGATTGATTTGTTGCCCAAAGCTGCTTTTATAATTGTCAAATATGAAGAAGATTGATTGTGCATTAATTTTAGTTAAAAATAAAACTGTAATTTATTAAACTTATAATAGAGGGCAGTAAGCTTACAAGAGTCTTGCTGATTGATGGAATTTATAAAAAACATAAGAAATGACTATAAAGTGAGGTACTGTTCACAAATACACTCCTTCACAGATGCAACTAGATACTGCATCCCTAACGCAAAACACTACTGTTTCAAAATTGACCTTGAAAAAGACCTTCAGCTCTTTGTCTTGGTATCTGGTGTATAAAAAAATGAAGATATTTATGTACATTTGTATTTACGCACTAAACGAGAAAGAGGAAAAGGGCTTTTGCAGTGGATATGTCAACAATGTCTGTTTAACTACCTCTCACCAGAGTGGTGCGACTGTGTATTTCCTAATTTATCCTCACTCTCTGGAGTTTTCAGTAGTTATCTTTGCACCAGGGATCCTATTCCATTAGCATTCCCTGCTTAGCCCCACTGTTTCTCACTGTAAAGGGCTCCCATTACCCTACAATGGGCTGGTACTGGCATTACAGAAGTCAATCAAGCAGTCCCAACGCCCCAGCATTTTGAGAAAGGAGTCTGATTACCCATGGAACAACCTAACATTTATGATATGCACATGTACAGTACATCATTTTTCTTTCCCAAGTGAATACTGTATATTCTACATTAGGAACAAATAAAGACTTACCTGTATTCCATGCTGAAAGTTGTCTCTCTTCTTTTCAGCATGGAATAAACCTTAACTTGTTCTTTTGCAGCTTACGCTGCTGATGCAACTACCTACTTGAACAGCTACCTGCTTGAATATCATACATTATGTACTTCTATCAACCTGCAGTACTTATAGTGTGTATATATATCTGCATGGATCTGTATACTAACACACATTATTTTAAACTCACACTTGAAGAAGGCTCCATGGCCACAACGTTGTGTTTTCTCCAGCATGGAATAAACCTATTACTTGTTCCTTTGCAGCCTACGCATGCTGATGCTGCTACCCACCTGAACCACATTATTTTATATGTGGATTTATAAAGATTACTGAGACCTTTTCTAAACATTTTGAGATGTAGGACTTTAACTTGGACTTTTACTGTGCTGTGATACAAACACAAAAATATTTTTAAGAACAAATTTTCCGAATGCAATGGCAACTGACTCAAAAAATAAATAAATCAGAAAACAAAAAATTATCGTAGCTGTAAATAATAGAGCGATCCTTTACACTGAGACAGCTCTGCCAGCACTGCAAACACAACTGGGGAAATTAAATACCTAATTGACCATGACAGTCGGGTGAAGCAAGGTAGGGTGTCATAAGCACACTGGCTCACAGTCTTCCCTTGCACAATCAGCCGAGTAATTACATGGATAATTGATTCACCAAGACCCCCAATACCAGCTGATGAGTTACCTCACAAAGCCCTGAGATCACTGACTTGGGAACAACAAAGAAGAAATTTATTGCTCACTTCACAGGAAACTCAGTCTGGATTTGTGTCTGGGGAGAATGAGGTCCTACAACAGACTCCTGTGCATCCTCGTCACAGGAGAGCAGAGGTCATTAGCACCTGGAGAATGTCATTTAACAAGTGTGAGTGCAATTTGAGCTCTGCCGCTGAGACTTTAATGTGCAAAATATTTGGTTTCCAAGATGAAGGTTCAAAACAATACAAAATCATCAAAAGGCAGGCTGGATGGGAGCACTAGTCTTTGTGATTTGAATGATCCTGACCCTGTAGTTGGCTTTCTCCTCAAACATCAGGATTTTTCACTTTTAATGCTTGCTTGGTAGGTTCGTGAACACACAACGAAACATGCTTCTGGAACAAAAGCCCAGACTCCTATGCTTACCTGAATCAAACTGAAAAGGTTAGCAATGGGTTTTATCTGTGAGAATTTAAGGTAAGTCTATACAACTACTCTTGTGATCTATGATAATTCTGAATTCAGGTACCAGATCTTTGAAGAATGACATGCTCAGCCTCCAGTGCCACCTAACTTCTGTAGAGGTGTTTTCTATTCAATGAGCTAACGGGAGCTTGAATCTATGGACTGGATTAATTGTTATCAATCTGTATGATGGTTTCCTCTAGTCTGTACAGAGTCAGATCTGGAGGTCTGGGTTAGTACTGTATCTCTTTACACAAAGATTTGTGGGAGCAGTGGCACTGTGGTTAAGGATCTGTGCCTGTGGCTTGAAGGTTGCCGGTTCAAATCCCGTGGCCAGCAGAGGAATCCTATTCCATTGGACCGCTGAGCAAGGCCCTTAACCCCAACTGCTCTAGGGGCACCATATAAATGGATGACCCTGCGCTCTGACCCCAAGCTTCTCTCTCCCTTCCTGTGTGTCGCATGTAGAGCAAGCTGGGGTATGTGAAAAGACAAATTTCTAATGCAAGAAATTGTATATGGCCAATAAAGTGATCTTATCTTAAAACAGCCCACCCAGTTATATTGTTAAAGCCAAAATCCTGGCTTCTTGCAAGATAAGGATAGATTAAATCCTTGTCCCACTTAGATGGGCCGAATTCCCTCCTCTCATGTGTAATCTTTCTTATGCCACAATGGAGGTCTCCTGTGTAATAATGTGGATCTAACCTGGGCTAACTGACGAACCTGGGGTCAGACAGGCTACAGCATTGTTCTTTTGACAACTTGGCTTTCTTTATTCTTTAACTGTGATTTCTTTATTTTTCATGGCTCTAATTAGTTTGCCTGGGCTTTCTCCCCTGTGATTTTCCTTTATGAGGAGAGATTAATTATTCTGAACATGTAACAATGAATAATTTGCTGTGCACTGTAAAATGGTAATGACTTCACACCACACTCATATAATATTTATAGATCTGGTTCACAGCCTAGAGGTGAGAAGTTTTCATTCACTAGAGGAAGGCTTGACTGTCTCTAACAGTGAGCAGTTTTCATTTATAAATTCTCCTGTAGAAACAAGCTTGTTTGTAGATCAATCTAAATCCTTTTAGGTGTTCAAGTCAGTTTTTCATGAGTGCTGTGAAAGCTGTTGTGTGTCTTCTACTGGAAGAAATTGAGGATAAAGGAATTTTTGAAAATGCTAAAAGGAATTAAATATTAAATTTACAATGATGAGGCCCATTTATACAGTAGGACATTTACTGGACCAATTTGGGTGAAGCACCTACCCACAACCCTCTAGTGTGCAGCCCAAAGCCCTAACTAATGGTCTTTGCTGCTCAATAAAGTTGTGATCATATGTCTTCACCTATTGTCTTTTATAATGAATTGTGCATATTCAGTTGCTGTAATTTTTATTATATATGCAACGTGTCAGCTTCCATGGTTATTCCCAACACTGCATATGAATTCTTTACATAAAGATGTACAAGTAGCGGGGAAAAAAACGGAAAATATTTAGATAAATAAGTACTGTATCTTGAAAATAAGGGCTTCTATCCTGGTGTGACTTATGCGTTAAAAAAAGCACATAACATCCTAGCACCCTTGAGTCCTGTATAAAAATGCTGGACAGGCCAAGTTGTCTGTGATTATGGCTGTGTGAATGCAAGAGGAGACCTGAGACTTTGAAAGAGGAGTGATTGTTGGTGTACAATTTGTAGGAGCTTCAATGACCAAGACTGCCCAACCTGTTAAGGTGAGGTGAGGTCTGCATGGAATTCCAGGAAAAACATCATCAGCAAAGGGCACTTCATCTCCAATACAAATGCTGATGAAATCACACATAACTATAATACAGTGGTGAGACAAGCCCTCAATGAAATAGACCAGTTAAAGACTAAGGTAGTCAAAACCACCAGACACTCTCCATGGTTAAATGATCACACATTGTTACGACCCCAAGTGTGTAGGGGTAAAGGGGTGTAACATTTAGGATAGTTTTTAGATGCAGGTGGATTCTGGTGAGGGACTTAGGAAGCGTGATAACAAAGTTGGTGCAAAAGTTATCATTTTAAGGTGAATAAGTGACTGGTACGTAATAGGACACAATAACACACATGGTAAGGGAACCAGAGCGGTGCCAAAGAAAATAAAATAAACAAAATTGAGCTGGCTAAGAAAGTGAGGGAAAGCTGACCTAACTACAAAAGAAAACCCGAAACACTCTGTCTTCGGCGTCTTCATCTAACCTTCACTGACTACCCAAAACCATACAAGACAAAAGGCACTCACCCATATTAAACTAGTTTTACTAATACAAATATCAACTATGTGTGGAAGTTGTACCCAACAACCTAAACTAACCCTATACACAAATACACAAGTCAACTACGAATACCAATAAGGGAAAAAAGGAGAGTAGACACAAGTAACTGTACAAAAGAACACAGAGGTTGATACAATACGTCTGGGCAAGGAAATGGCTAAATAAAGATAAACACAAACAAACGAAAGTACGAGGAGACGAACATAAACCAACAAATCAACAAAGCCAAACAATAAAATTAATATCATCAGACTTCAAACACAATCAATCAGGCTGCAAAAAATTCTGGTACAAAAACAATGTGCACACCTTTTCATTGTTTTTCAATTAGTTAATGAACAAGAACTGAAGAAATTAATTAAGACAAAATCAACCACCTGTCCGCTAGATCCCATCCCAACCCAACTAGTTTAAGATTCCCTCTAAGTACTGGAGGGATCTATAATTAGTATGATGAACATGTCCCTTGCATCAGGCGTTGTACCTGACCAATTTAACGTAGTGGTTGTTAGACTGCTGCTTAAGAAACCAAATTTGGTTTTTAATAATTACAGACAGCACTGAAACTGCATTAACAAGAGGTGTAAATGATATTCTGTTAGCAACTGACACGGGGAATGCAACAGTGTTTGTGCTTCTAGATCTTAGTGCAGCCTTTGACACGGTTGACCACTCTTGTTTTGTTACACAGGCTTAAGTTCGGCCTATGTGGACCCATCCTTAAGTGGTTTACCCCCTACTTAACTAACCGTTTTCACTATGTGAAAACCTTCCAGGTAGATACATCTGTTCTGACCAAACTATCCTATTCTCCTCCCCACATGTCCAGATGGTGCCCGAGCTGGGCATCTGAGTTGGATGGTGCATCACTGCCATGGATCCAAGAGAGACATCGCGGATACAGCTATCATTTAGGAGGATTTGCAGGTCTACAGAGATCTGGATGAGTACTGGCACACAGAAGGACATGATGGAAGACCTAATACTCCTCATTTAGTAGTTTTTTCTGAATTGCATCATGTTAGCATGCCCAGAGGGGTTGGGTAGCCAGTTGACCTTGGACCCCTAGAGGTTTTTTTTCTCTTTGCTGAGGAGTTTTTGGTTGCTCTCCTCCACTTTCTTCTGGCCCTTTCTCTTTCTGTATTGTAACGTCATGTATTGTCAAACAGCTTTTTTAAATGCCGTGGGGCAACCTTGTTGTGAAAGGCGCTATATAAAAATAGATTGAATCGAAGACTTTGTCTGAGTCAATTAAAATGATCCGAAAATCCAGTCACCTGAAAGGCACAGGGATTGTCACCAGAAAGATTTATTGGCATGTGTACGCAGTTCTGGCCCTCTGTCCGCAGAGCCTGCAGGAGGTGGCGGGACGCGCAGAGACCTGGCCGAGGGAAGCGCGGAGTTGAGGAGGCTGCGCCACTGACCTGAGGCTGCGGGAGCGCGGGCGCAGGGCAGGGGAACGGCGGCCCTCCTCGTCCGTGATGCTCTCTGAGCTGAAGTGCTTGGTGAGGAAGTGCAGCTCGTCGGCCGTGGGCTGGAAGGGCAGCTGGTGCAGCTTCTCCTGGGATGAACATGATGACTGTGAGAAGCAGAGAGGGAGGGATTACAAAGGAAGAAGGCTGGAAGCGCTGAGAAGGGGGTAGCTCGCGGGCTCAGGCTGCGCGGGCAGAGCTGCTCCCTAACCCAGGGGGCAAAGAGCTGAGGCTATTCCCTCTTACTCCACTCGTGGCTCAGCTAAACCTCAGCTCTGCGTCTGCTATGGCAGGGACCCGAGAAGGCCCTAATACACACCAAATCCTAACAGCAAGGCAGGAGCAATGCGGTTTTGCTCAGATAAGCATGTTTCAGCTTTTTTCAATCTAAATGTCACTTTATACGATCAGCCGGGGGTTAAATGTCTTGGGGAGAGAATTGTAATTGTCACCATAAAGATTATCCTTGCATACATGGAAACAGAAAAGTGCTTGGTTAAGGATCAAATCCGATCGTGATAAAAGAAGGCTTGTTATCTCTATTGATTTCCGTAGTTACAGTGTGAAATGATCATTTCAACTAATTTGGTACATAAATAATTGAAAAGAATCAAACCTTTGAATTTACCAGAACAAAATACATAACACTCTAATCAGCTTCTGAATGCAAGGCCTTGTTCGTCTCTGCCACCACTGTGATGCTTTGCCCTAAGAAACGTGAAGGGGGAATGTAAAGTTCCCCCTAAGAAATTTGCAAGATATCATGGGACCTAATGTAGCATAGGTTTGTTCCTCCAGTCACAATAAACAGCGCTTGTGTGCTGTGATGTCTAAAACTGGAATGTGTTCTCCAGGTTCCATCGGGTATAAAGCTTAAACTAAAGCCAACCTTATTGTAAATTCCCAACCTTTTTGCAGCTAAGGCCCAGCCCGTTTTGATAGTTTAACATCATGGACTGGTTCCTATCGTATCAGCTCAAAAATAATTTCTTAAAATTAACCAGATTAAAATTACAAATATATAATATTATTGCTTTCGCCTATATTTGTTAAGTAATGCAATGTGACTGTTTGGACCTCAATATCCCAAAGACTATCTCATGAAGTAAAACATACTTAAGTGTTGGAAATCAGCTGTTATCTTTTGCTTTCTGCTTTCCTTCCAATAACTCTACTGGTTTGGATTCTAGCTTTTTTTTAAGTGCCAAATTAAATTGTACCCATCACTGCTTCATTCCTAAGTATTTCACCAAACACTGTACATAGAGGCCTAGGTGCCTCCTCACTGACAAATTATTTAAACCCTGACTGGCAAATTATTTGAAATTATTTCTACATAAAACTCCTTATGCTAGGTCCATAAGCACTACCTTTTCCACTCCCACTGCAATCACATTTGTTTTTCCACTATTTCACTATTGTCTAGTCCTTTATGTTTTTGTTGTTGAAATTCAGAGAAACTACCTTATTTACTCCTAGTACCAATCAAATTAGAACTAGTCTGGGTGCAGACCATAAACATGAATTATGTTACGTAATGTGTACTGTGATATATTGCTTTTTGGGACTGACAAAATTAGTAATCAAGCTCAGATGTAGTCACGGAGATTTATTTCTGCTTACTGTGGCTGCTTTTATAAATGATTACTGCCTACTAGATGATAGCAGATATAATTAGCTGCCCTCCATTTGTCACCAGACATTTATCAGTGGGAATTAATATTTTTGGGTTGGTGTCAAGTATTTTGAAGCCCTTCACTTTGGAATGCGACTATTAAGTGTATGTGTCACTCTGTAACTAGAGAATATGCTAACATTGGCGAGAGACACTCACTGTTAAAATAAAACCATAGCTCTCAGAGATTTGACACAGGCCTGTTGAGGACCACTGTTCTTTGCTTTAAGTTAGACTGCCAGACATCAGCGCTGGGTCGTGGAGGGAGGACAGGGACAGGGAAACGAGGTGCTGTGCTGAGGGTCAGACTCACCGACACAGTGGAGCTGGGTGTATTGGTGCCATAGCCCGAGGAGGGCAGCGATGCGAGGGACCAGCGGCGGCCATCCGTCCTAGGAAAGCAGGAAGGAAGAGGGCAGTGCGGTCAGAGACATACCAAACAGTGGGGGACACACACTCCCAGACACTTAAGACAATGCAGCACACACTAACAGAAGGAGGCACAGGCATCAGATCACAAGTTAGGGTTAACACAGAAAGGAACCGGGGGTATTATGGGACAGTACACTTTCAACAGCTGTCTTGTATTGCTCTGTGCTCAGGTACAACAAGGTGGGCATTATAATAATAATTCCTTATACTTTAACACTCCAGTTAAAGCGCTTTACAGGTAATGGGGACTCCCCCCCACCACCACCAATGTGCAGCCCCACCTGGATGTTGTGACAGCAGCTAAAGTGCACCAGTGCACTCCCTACACATCAGCTACCAGTAGGGAGGAGAACAGTGTGATGAAGCCAATTCATAGGTGGAGACCATTAGGAGGCCATTAGTAAAGGCCAGGGTGAAATTTGGCCAGGATGCCAGGGTAATACCCCTACTCTATTTGAGAAACACCCTGAGATTTTTAATGAACCTATGGAGTCAGAACCTCAGATTTAAATCTCATCTCAACGGCAGCTTTTTACAGCATAGTGTCTACATCACTATACTGGGGCATTAGGACCCACATGGTCCACAGGGTGAAGACCCCTTACGGGTCCCTCTAACACCACTTTGTGCAGCAACCTGAGTTTTTTCCAGGAGGTCTCCCATCCAGGCACTGACCAGGCTCACACCTGCAGAACTGTAGTAGTTTGCCAGTTGTGAGTTGCAGGGCAATATGGCTGCTGGCAAATGTGAATTTCTGTAAATTTCACATTTCACAAAATTTCTATTATTAACTTTTGTCAAAGTTTAAACTGATTTAGACCTAAGTGGCTTCTCTAGCTTTATAAGACAGTGTGGGATATATCTAATTTACTAATTGTGTACATTATAAGACACACAATCTGGACAATTATGCTTATTTCAAAATTGGGCATAAGACATAAGCAAAAATATCTGAATTAATTCATGCAAGAACTTGCCACACACCAACCACACAGAACCCGAATACAGTGCATGCAAACACATTTAGACATTCAGACTTAGCGTTCATTGTAAACACAGCCTGAAACCATCCAAGAGGTAATATCCCAAACTGCTGGCAACAAAAAGCCCAGTAATGCATGCGACACATTAAAACAGTTGTTTTACGCAGCATGCTGAGAATAATTCTATCACATATTTCAGACCATGTTGACTAGATACTGCTAAGACACACCTTCACACTCAAAGGAAAAAGAGTTAATACATCAAACAGCTGGAAGTTACAGAACCTATAGACCCATTCTGACGATACTGACAATTCTAAAAATCAAAATCCTGAAAAAAGTCTATATTGAATATATTAAATAATATTAAATTCTTACATATGACATTCTGAACATGCCAATAGCAAAAAATTGTGCAGCCATAATGAATTTCTTTAGAAATGGAGCTACTTCAAGAAATCGCTTAAAAAAGTAGGAAAAAATATCTCAAAAAGAGATTCTTTCATTTTCTAAACTATATTTTCATTAGTGTGATGTTAGGAGGAGAACCTTAGAACTGGCTGAAAGGCTCAAATGGGAAGTGTTTGAGAAGACATTTAAGATGAAGGACACAGAGTTTCTAATATTTAATTCCCCACAGTAGCCAGCCCTCAGTACATCTGCAGCTCACTATTTTCTGCATTTACAAGAAACAGGTACTGTATAATTCACAGTGTGTTGCTCTGTACCGTATTACCTTAGCATTACAAAGATGTGAGGAAATGTAGGACATGTACATGATTGTTGTCTACAAATGTCAGAAATTGTTTGGGAGTTTTGTCTTATTGAGGCTTGTTTATTAAATCTATTAAAAGCGGTTAATAAGGTCCTGGCTGTGAGTGGCTTGAAAACCCTGGGTGTAGTGGCACAGAGGACAGCACACAGACAAGAAGGCCAGCCATGCAGGAGAGCGCAAGGCAGGTGGAGAGAGGGGAGGGATTACCTGTCAGCCCTGTGCCCGTGACTGTGTTGGAGAAATGACAGCATTAGTGAAACATGACTATAATCCCACGAGCTCACAAAACTGTGCAGAACAGAAACCACACCCAGGACATGCACTGAACTACACATTTATCTAATGATCTACCAAGATCTCACTAATGATCTCATAATCCGATTGAACACTGAAACTCAAACCAGAGGATACAGGTGAAAACTTCACAGAAATACATTTAAAACCACTGACAGAAGGCACCTCTTCACCCAAAGGGTGGTAGGAGTATGCAACAAGCTACCCAGCCATATTGTTGAAGCTGATGCCCTTGCATCCTTGCACCCAAACAGTTTAGACTGGCCAGAATGTGTGTTTGTAACCTTTCTTTTTTTTATGTATTATTTTTTTCTGTTTTAGAATTTAGAAAAAAATATGAATGTCGCAAAATAATTTCAATACATCTGGTCTTAATCCCATAGAATTTAACTGCTGGAACCTGAAAGGTTACTACATATTTAGAGTTAGGACTCTTCTTTAATATAATTTAGCACTAATTGAAAAATAACATATAAAACAAAAACTCTTAAATTGTTAAGAAGATTTGTATAAATAACAAATATCCACACAAGCTGAGACTTTGTTGTTCTGTATATACTGTGTGGAAGGGCAGAGAGGACAAATTCAGATTACTGGCATTAGTTATTCACTACGGATTTTTATTGTGGAAATTCACAGATGTTTGCTTTTGGTATTCAATAACATGCAGTGCAACAACATGGTCCTGTACGGAATCGGAGCACAAGGAATGAATGCTGACAAATGAGAACCATTAGATTGTGCTGGCTGATTTAATTTCCTTTATGCTGACTTGACCTCCACTGTTTGCTAAACAATAAATAAACAATATTGTTGTGTTTATAGAGGGCATGAGCCACATACACAGCAAAAAGAGCAACAATGCTGCTTCCTTTACAAACACCACCGTGAAATTACAAATGACTTTTCAGTAGTATAAAATCTTCTGTTGTGAAAATTGTATTGTGTAAATATTGTACATTTTAACTGATTTTTTTTTATAGAAAGCTAAATTATATTTTAAATTAGAAATATTAAGACTTTTATTGACAGCTTGGGACAGCTGTGTTTTTAATTGTACCAGCAGATGGAGCCACTCTTTCAAAAACAAATCCAAATAATTGCTTACACTTATATAGCACTTTTCTGGACACTCCACTCAAAGCGCTTAACAGGTAATGGGGACTCCCCTCCACCAATGTGCACCCCCACCTGGATGATGCAACGGCAGCTATAGTGCGCCAGAACGCTCAACACACATGAGCTTTCAGTGGGGAGGAGAGCAGAGTAATGAAGCCAATTATTAGGAGGCCATGATTGGTGGGAATTTTGGCCGGGACGCCAGGGTTACACCCCTACTCTTTTCGAGAAACACAGAGTCAGGACCTCGGTTTTACATCTCATCCGAAGGACAATGCCTGTTTACAGCATAGTGTCCTCGTCACTATACTGGGGCATTAGGACCCACATGGACTGCAGGGTGAGCGCCCCCTGTTGGCCCCACTAACACCTCTACCAGCAGCAACCTTAGTTTTTCCCAGGAGGTCTCTCATCCAGGTACTGACCAGGCTCACACCTGCTTAGCTTCAGTGGGCTGCCAGTTGTGAGTTGCAGAGTGATATGGCTGCTGGCAATTAATACAAATTAATAGCTGCTTTATGTTAAACTGGCCAAGTAACACGGTTTATTTTTTTACAACCAGACTGCAAGAGCCCCTCCCGCCCACATTATTTCATGTCGGGAACTCCCTTGATGCCTTAGCTTTTTATAACTATCTCACCTAGCATTTCTGTTAGCTACATGGAAGTATTCACAGCCCACATACTGTAAAAGTAGCCAGACTGATACCGGTAAACCAGAGGTCTTCTATTGAGGTTTTAGCTCCTTCAGACATTAGCTGCTCATTAATTAGGAGTGGTAACTAAACTGATTCAAGTGCCAGAAGGCAGGAGTTTGGTTTTAATATAACAATGGGAAAGAGGTTTGTGTGCACAAGGAATGAACATCTCACCTTTTAAAGTGGAAAGGAGAAAAGCAAAGGGGTGGCCTGTTCTATAAAGTCTGTGATCTGACGCATGCTGGATGAAGGCGCAGTGCGTTACAGGGACCCCACTCACCTACGCGCTGGGACGAAGGAGAAGTGTGCCGCAGTGTTGGGGGAGAAATTCCGGGGGCTGTCCAGGGGGCTGCTCCCTAAGACATAGAAACACAGACAGTACTGTAAAGAGAGCCCAAGAGCGCGGAGCCTTCCTCATTTTTGATCACTTTTGAACCTCAAAAAAAACAATGGATGTAACCATTTACTTTGGAAGCAAAGGATGATTCTTAAAGAACCAGAACAACACTCCACTGATTGCTAAACCACTGTTTCTATGGCAACCTAAAAGGCTGATGAAGATGTGTTTGGTCCCAAAAACGTTCCAAGGTTGTAAACATAAATTTTATAATAATATCATCATTTTCAAATGACAAATATCTGGATTCTACACTCCTGATAAAAATAACATCTGACAAAGAATCATTTAGCACAACAATGTTTCTCCAGATGCTTCTTGAAGCACCAACTAAAGCTTTTACCAATTCCTAGTCACATTATTTATTGGCTAGAGATGCAATATACAAATATAACACTGAAGAGAATGAATCAAAAATAAATATTCCCATATATACCTTAGATGATAAGCCTGAGTTAAACTGATACTACACAACTGCCAGGAAAAACACTATGAACATTGCAAAAAACAATGAAATAAAAACATTTTTAAAAATCCAGAAGTAAAAAGATGGAGTGTCTCTGACAAGAGAATGGCTCTCTGTCAGTGATGGACCAGAAAGACGTTGCGTGTTACCAGAGTTAAGCGGTGCCTCAAACACATCCTGTTATTCAAAGGAGGAAGAGCACATGTCAAATCTGGGAGCTTTGCTTCAGAAGAGATCTTTACCCAGAGCAGAACTGCAGTGCTACCTCTCAGCAAAGTGACATGCTGTGGCATCAGATGTACAAAACGTGCCAACAAACATGGATGCACTGAGCCCCACCTTTTTTGTTAGAAGGTAAAGTATTGCAATTGAGAAACTAGAAATATTTTATTTAAAACTACTGCTCTTGTAAAGCAGAATGCTGAAAGAATATAAAAAAGTTCAAGGTTTATTCCATGCTGAAAAAAGAAGAAAGGAAACAACGGTTCAGCTGTGGAGCCTTCTTTGGTGTGTAGGGTTCCATAGCCAAAACATCTCGTTTCCTTTCTTCTCTTTTCAACATGGAATAAACCTTTAACTTGTTCCTTTGCAGCCTACACATGCTGATGTGACTTCCTACTTGAACTATAAAAAAACAGTTTCATACTGGCCGTTAACTACATATAAAAAGTTTAGTACTACTATAATGATACAAAATATTCAGGGAACTGATGACTCTGGATGTGTAGTTAATCCTTCTTACCACTATATATATAGCTGTCTTACGTACTTAAACCATCAAGGCCACTCGCTTCATATTTAATACATGCGTATCTACCTTTGTAAATGATCTGGATGAGAGCTTTTCTCCAGCAAGGACTGGTCTACTCAGGAGTGCTGAGGTACTGGGATCAGTGCGAGAGCTTAAACTACTAAAATCAATTTCCATTAATCTTCTAAAGGCTTTTGACCACGAGTATGAGGACTGCCCAAGGAGTAAGTTACACAGTATGTATTTGAGATGTAGTCCCAAAGATTCACAAATTCTTGAATATAAAAAATATTGTAATCCCCTGTCAGAAAGGAAAGGATTAATTATCTTAGGTATAACCAACACTGTGCAGCTGGAATACACGCACATTCTCTGTCAAGAAAAAGAAACGCTGAGGAGTAATTCTCAGAAGGCCTGTGACGAAATTATGTAGATGTGCACACAATCACACAAAGACTGAGAAACGCACTGCATAAGGAGCAGTAATCACAATTCTCAGAGGTAACCAGAAGACTAACCCCAATGGTAAAGATCACTGCAATAAAGTGATTTTCCTCTTATTAAATACCTTCAGTAGTGCTAAGACAGATTAAAGCAAACATTGTACCTATCTGTGTCTATACCCTAGCAGTTCAAAACTAGCCAAAGGAAAAGTATTAAAAAACACCAACTAGGAGCTTTTGATTAGGTCATCTTCAACACTTCCTGTTCCTTTATTTTCTTTAACGTGGGTCTAACAATGCGCAGCCACATATCCTTTCCCCAGCTATCTTTAGCACCTTACTGCAATATATACAATAACTGAAAGGTCATTCCTTCTGCAGAGCCTGATCAGGTTGGCGCAGATGGAGATTTCAGCCCGATCTATCAGATATTAACGCACAAACCGACAGGACCTGCAGTGTGATCCTGCCGAGCAATTGAGCTCATTACCATGCTCTGCACACAGAGAGGAAACGAAGCAACACGTTGCTTAATGGCTTCCGACTGGCTGTAAGTGAGAATAGTGGGAAACGAAGTAAACAGCCCCTTGCGCGCTACAGGCAGTGACCTTCTCTTAAACAAGTGGGCCCTGGGCCTCGGGACACGAGGACAGGCAGGGCAGCGCGTGTCCTCCGAGCGCTTGCTAAAACCCCACTGCGCCAGCTGTGCCGCTTATCCAATTTGCAAAATGGAAATGCCGAGCCAGAGTATCCCATCTTTGTAAATATCAGCCTGACCTTCTTTCAGTGAATACATTAATAACCAGCGAGAATGAATTCCTGACTGAAATTTAATTGCAGACCCTTGTCGAACACCAGCACAAATAGCACAGCGCTGGATTAAAAAACCCTGGATTACGACTCCCGTTTTAATTATTTCCAAACTTCAATTTAGTTAAGGTATTAAAAAATAATCCTCATCAAATGATGAAAATTATTCATGATACAATTTTATATGAAGCACAAAAAAGCACACCGGGTTACTTTTTGAAACATATTCAAGTAATCATTGTAACGAGGCTACAGAAGGCTGGGGAATGACCTGTTAAAACCTGATCTCTTCTAACTTTCTTTCCTCTTTTTATTTGTCCTCCTTTGCCGAAATTGAGGCCTAGATTGTCAACAAAGAAGTAATGGCAAAACGTGAGCCGCTCTGCCTGCATGGGACTTTCTCCCATCTTGCAGTGCCACCACATGGGCAAATGTTGTAATTGCAGTGACTCAAGAAAGGTAGGCAGTATAGTATCAAGAGAGAACAAAAAAGAAACAGTACAATTCAGATCAGAAGAACAATGACAACATGCTTTATTTGAGACTCAGAATACTGGTTGGGGAGCAGAATCTCTACTTATATCTGCCCTTTTAGATTGAAATGTGACATTGAACATTGCCACTGACGATATGCAGGAAAACTGATGTATAGATCATGGATATATTATTGCCTTGGTACTGGGAGTCTGACAGTGAACAACAGTAGCATATATGGACTTGTTTTGAAACAAAAGCTGAAGCTATAATTGACTGCTGATGGGAATGGGGCTGAATTCATCTTTCAGTATTCAGAAGTACATGCTTGAGGTATCCATTAATAAATTCCTCTCCACACAAACAATGTGGCAGTACTGCAAGATGGAAGCCTCACAGCACAGAAGCAGATAAAGACTGAAACAGGCCTCTTGTGAATGCAGCAATACTGTATCTCTGAAACAGAAAATGGGTTACTCATTCAATTAATCTTAAATTGCCCAGGTTCATTAAAGTGCCATTGTTGGTCACAATGCAGTAATTGCAATAGCAAACAATGAATGTATCCATTTTTGAGAGGTGGGAGTGTGCCTTACATTACCAGGTAGCACAGATAACAGTAATAAGCCAGAAGTACAGAACAGCTGTCAGACTGCACTGTGAAGCAGCTGATAAAGGTGATGGATTGAAACAGGAGACCAACAGTATGCAGGAAAGGACTGGATAACTGAGCTGAATGACAGTGCACCAATGGGATTCATCTTCACTAGCAGTTTCTGCACTGAATGCAGAAACAAAAAAGGGAGCCAATGTTCGCTAACCGTGGTTCCATATTGTGTACCAAGAATGTGCCACATGCAGGTCAATGTCCTCTGCTTTGCTTTTATTATTGTGCTCTTCTCTTTTGTGCATTTTATATTTGCATTAGATGCAATATTAAATGCCCCAGTTCTTACTTCAACTTAACATCTACAACCCACATTGCAGAAAGAAGTACTTGATATCTATGAAAGTCCTCTGATTTTTCTATGTTGAAAAATTGATTGGTGGAACTAATAACTAATGTAATTAGTCACAAGACTAATAACATCTAGTTGTGCACCTTCTGCCATACATTACAATCAATCAATCAAGCCCCTCACATCCTCTCCTGCACCTGATATACTGATTTAGCAAGGGAAACCACCAGGGGCAGCTTCAAACTTGATCTCTGTTGCCACTTTTCCTGTCCTTAAACACTATCAGTGTTTACGAGGGGGACTACATACAATATAGTCTAGTAAATAAATCCAATTTGCTCCTTTAATCTCCTGAGGAAGAGCTGTAAGCACGATGTAAGCAGGGAAGCAATCGATAGAGGTATCTAATTCATCCCAGTTCAGGTAGCAGGTGGCCACAGTGTAAGCATTAGCGGTATCACTAGTTGGTGTAGTAGTATATCAGAGCAGCGCTGGAATCCAGCAGCAGAACACGCAGCTTTTGGCTGCGATTCTCCCCCTATGGTGAAAAAACAGGAAAATTCAAGAACCTGCATTTTTCTTTTTTACGGGAAGGCTTTTTGCATCAGTCAGTCTTTTCCTGGCACCAGGATAATGAGATCTGCAGCTAAAGAGCACTCCAATCGGAGAGGAATGTGAGGCACTTAAAACGCGTTCAGCAGACCTTCTCATCCACATGTACAGAAACACCCGAGCGATTAACAAGGCAGATCAAGGAAAACTGTCAAAAAACGAAACAGGCAATGGCTTTATAGGTGGGAGGGAGATGTCACAGATTATTTCTCTTATTGGAGAAAGGAAGAAATTTGCTTTGTACATTTTACTGTTCTTATTAGACAAGGGAAAAGGCAGAGAATGTACAGCCTATTTCTCTTCATTGCACTGTACATTTCAGCTGACAAGGACCGCATTCAGAGTTAATTCCAGCTCTGTAACCCGTCCTACAGCAATAGCATGAAGTGGAAATAAATTATAAACCTCAGATCCATAAACACTGTGAACACAAGGGAGGACAGG